CACGAATATCAAACAAAGGGTCCAAAATCTTAACACGGACAAGTTCGAAAACAGTTCAACACGTCTCAAAGGACCACATTTTATTCATAATGGAAGCGAAATCATAAACATATAAATCATGACCAACCCACTCGTCTTTTCCCCCGTCATCCGGCACCTGTTTAACCTGCATCCGTGAAGAGCAGGTGGGAGTGAGCACAAGATAAAAATAGTGCTCGATACTATGCACATAAATAACACATGTCAAAATGGTATGGTCGCAGCATGAATATAAGATAATCACATCATGTCTCATCTCCTATAAAAAACACAACAATCACATTACTCCTGTGCACATCTATCGCTAGCCGCAGAACGGGGATTCATTACCCGAAGGCGGGAGTACATGCCACGCTACGGACACGGCCTTCCATATGGGCTTACGTACCTCGCAAGGGCACGACCATATCAGGACTTAAGGAGACTTGCCTCACAAGGGCAACCGTGTTACATCGACGGGGACAACCGTACCGACGGCCGTAACAGCTCACATCGATAGGCTACATATTTCATATTCATACATAGATCATACCCATAAGAATAAACATTCATCACTCATGGCATAGACAATTTTAGATTAGAACCCACCTGGTATGGCAACGGAGAAATTGGCACACAAACGGGTGTAGGCAGCGAACACGGCTCGTCAGACACCTACAACAATTATATACTAAGATCAACACCTACTTGACCTTAGAGAACAATCGCAAGCATACATTGGTCGAACTTGATTCAACCAAGTAGTTCGTGATGTTTCGTGGACATTGGAACACTTAGGTCCTACATCTAGACTTGACCAAAAAGCATAATAATAACACATATAGTCCTAGCACGCAAAACTAAGTCAAACTGGTCAAAGGCACACATAAGGGTTCGGGAAAAATTATAAGGAAAGTTTGGGTCGGGCCCCGGGCTGCTCGTTGGCACGGTCGTGCAAGGCTGGGAGCGGCTGGTGGTGCGCACGGGCGCTGGGCACTGTGCTGGGGGCGCTGGGTGCTGGGCTGCGGGCGCTGGGGCGTTGTGCGTGCGTGATGAAGATCGTGTGTCCCGACTGTCGACAAGCCGCTCCCGCGCCTTAAATCGTTCGATAGGTGTTAGGAAGTCGCACACTCGCGGCCTTTCTAACGATTATGATTGCAAAAGAATTCAAGAAGAAAACTAGAGCAAAGAGTTTGAACAAAGTTCGTTTTTTGTATTAATTTCTGAATGAATAAATTAACAAGAGGAAGAGCATTTATATAGGCATCAACTAGATCTAGTCCTAATATAACTATAACTCTAATAAAGCAATATAATATTAGGAGTCCTAAACAAACTAGAAAACAAGGAAATAAATATCTAGAATATCTCTTGCTTGCGATTCAAGCCGCTATTGCGCGCGTGTTGCCCTCGCGTGCCCGCCTCGCCTACTCCTTGCGTGGTTAGGCCTGCTCGTGCGTGAACCTCCTCGTTTGTACCCGCGCTAATGCACCCTTGGCCGAGATTCTCGCGCGCGTCACCGTCCGCGCGCGCATGTCCGCTAATGAGTTGGGCCTGGGCAGCCCGTCGGCTTAACCTCCGTCGTGCATGATAAGCGCGGCTCGCAGCATTCTTTAATCTCCTTGCCGTGTTCTCATCATTCCCGTCCCCTTCAAGTGCTTCCTTGTCCTCAAGGAAGAAATCGGGAAACATCTCGCGCATCTCGTCCCAACTTTGCCACGTTGCTTCCTCGCTCGATAAATCCTCCCATTCGACAAGTACCTCCCAAAAATATTTCCCAGCCTTTTTGACTTGTCGGTACTCTATCGCGCGGCTCGGCCGCACCATAACCTGCCCGTCCGGCGCGACCGCGGGTAGTCGATCCTTTGCCGTATGCGCCTCGCCGAGACTTTGCTTGAGTTGTGAAACATGTATGACCGGATGGATATGAGAATCGTCCGGCAACTCAAGTCGATAGGCAACCTTCCCAACCTTGGCCAAAATTTTATAAGGCCCGTAATATCGAACTCCGAGCTTGGTCGCGGCCCTTTGCGCGGCCGTCCTTTGTCGAAATGGCCTCAACTTCAAGTACACCCAGTCCCCGGGCTCAAACTCTACGTCACGCCGCTTGCCATCATGGTACGCCTTCATCCTATTGATCGAGTCTTCCAACGTCCGCTTTAGCTCGCGCAACATCAAGTCTCGTTCGACTAACTCTCGATCGACCTCGTCGTTCACGGCGCTCCCCATCGAGTAACTCACAATCGTCGGCGGTTTGCGCCCGTACACCAACTCGAACAGCGTTGCCTTAGTCGAGCTATGGTAAGTGGTGTTATACCAATACTCGCCCCAAGGTAGATAATTCTCCCATCGCTTCGGAAATTGATGCACATAGCACCTAAGGTACTGTTCAAGCGTGCGACTTGTCACCTCTGTCTGTCCGTCAGTTTGTGGATGATAAGCTGAGCTCATGCTTAGCTCGGTTCCCTGTAATTTAATGAACTCCGACCAAAAGCTACTCATGAATATCCGATCTCGGTCGGACACAATCGACCGTGGCACCCCATGTAATTTCATCACATATTCGACAAATAATTTTGCTATAGACTTAGCCGTGTATGGGTGAGTAAGTGGAATAAAATGCGCATACTTGGTAAGGCGGTCGACTACCACCATGACTCCATTGAACCCATTCGAGAGTGGCAACCCCTCGATAAAATCCATGGTGATGTCCTCCCAAATACGTGCGGGGACCGGCAAGGGTTGTAGCAGCCCGCCTGGTCGACGCGCGTCCGCCTTAGTGCGTTGGCACTCATCACATCGCCCAACGTAGTCGCGCACATCGCCCCTTAGCCCTGGCCAATGAAAAGTGCTCGCAATCCTCATCCATGTCCGGAACACCCCAGAATGTCCTCCAAACTTCGAGTCGTGGAAGTGCCGGATGATGTCCTCGCGCAACGATCCCGCCTCGGGCACGAAGACTCACCCATGATAAAGAAGCAAGCCATCGTGCATGTCATGGTCCTCGTCCTTGTCGCGTCCCTCGTTCAGTTTTTTGACCACGTCCTGACAATGCGCATCCTCGTTTTGCGCCTTCCGAAGCTCTGCCCAAACGGCCCACGTCGGCCCCGTAACTGCGTCAAGTTCGGCCACGTCTTCCCGGCGAGACAATGCGTCGGCTACGGTGTTCTGGCGACCAGGTCGATACACTATCTCGAAGTCGAACCCCATCAATTTGGACACGAACTTCTGCTGCTCGGGCATCACGATCCTTTGTTCGAGCAAGTGCTTGAGCGGCTGCTGGTCCGTGACAATCCGAAAGTGTCGCCCAAGCAAATACGACCTCCACACGCGCACGGCCTCGACCACGGCCAGCATTTCCTTTACGTATGCGGACAACCCTAAGCGCGCTGGCCCGAGTGCCTTGCTGAGATAGGCCAAGGGTCGTCCTTCCTGCACCAAAACAGCCCCGATTCCAATATCGCTCGCATCCGAGTGAATCTCGAACAACACATCAAACCTCGGCATTGCGAGCACGGGCGTGGTCGTCATGGCCTCCTTCAGCTCCTCGAAAACCTTCTCGCTCGCCTCCGTCCACTTGAACGCCCCCTTCTTTCGTCATCTCGGTGAGTGGCTTCGCGATGGTACCATAGTCCTTCACGAATTTGCGATAATAGCCCGTAAGACCAAGGAACCCTCGCAACTGCGTCAAGCTCGCGGGCTTCGGCCATCCCACCATTGCCTCGATCTTCCTTGGGTCCACCTTAACGCCCTCATGGGAAATAAAGTGCCCAAGGTACTCGACCACCTCTTGAGCAAACGAGCACTTGGACGGTTTGATGTAGAATGAGTTAGCCTCCAGAATCCCCAAAACAACTCGCAAGTGCTCGAGATGATCTGCCCATGTTTTCGAGTATACCAAAATATCATCGAAGAATACTAATACAAACTTTCGTAGGTACCTCTTAAAAATCGAGTTCATGGCAAACTGAAAGGTCGACGGCGCATTGCACAACCCAAAAGGCATCACGAGATATTCGTAGTGCCCTTGGTGCGTGCGAAAAGCCGTTTTGAGCACGTCCTCCTTGGCCAACCTGATCTGATGGTAGCCCGCGCGTAGGTCAAGCTTAGAGAAGTAACGCGCGCCACCCAACTCGTCCAACATGTTGTCGACGCTCGGAATGGGGAAACGATCCTTCACAGTAGCCGCATTGAGAGCGCGGTAGTCCGTGCAGAATCGCCAAGTTCTGTCCTTCTTCTTTGCGAGCAGAACCGGTGACGAGAATGGGCTCGAGCTATGCTGGATGAGCACGGACTCGAGCATCTCGCCCACCTGTCGCTCGATCTCCGTCTTTTGGAAGTGTGCGTATCGACACGGATGCACGTGCACTGCTCGACCTTCCTTGACCAAAGGTATGCGGTGGTCGAACTCTCGGTGTGGCGGCAGCCCCCTGGGCTCGTCGAGGACCTGGTCGAACTCTTCGAGCAAGTCACGCACCTCGCGCTGTCTCTCCTCGACCGCTTGGTCGAACTCCTCGACCACTTCCGCGTCCTTGCCTGTCTGCTCGACCACATGGTCGAACTTCTCGATTACCTCCGCATCCTTGCCTGTCTGCTCGA